GATTTATTTAAAGTGTGCTATCTTTCCCATGGCTTTTATAAATGATTTTGGTTTTTTTTAAATAAAAGACCATTTTATTGGGGGCTCGTACAACTCTTAGCGCAACCCATTCATCCATCCATTGCGTCAAGCACATTTGTACATTTGTTGCCATCATTATTTTCAAAACATTTTCTTTCTACTTGAGTCTTTGGTATCCACTCCTCATTTTTTCTCCTCCCTCCCTCATGAACCCTTGATAATTTAGAAATTATTATTATTTTTTCATGTCTTGCACTGACCGATATCTCCCTTTACCCACTTATCTGTTGTCCATTCCCCCTGGGAGGGGGTTATACATAGGTCACTGTGATTTGTTCCTCTTGTCTCCCCCCCCTCCACCCCGCCTTGCCCTACTGGTATGGCTACTCTCAATATTGGTCCTGAGGAGTTTATTTGCCCTGTATTCCCTGTGTTTCCAGCTCTTTTCTGTACCCATGTACATGCGCTGGTCTAGCCAGATTTGTAAGGTAGAATTGGGGTCATGATAGTGGTGGAGGGATGAGGAGGAAGCATTAAAGAACCAGAGGAAAGCTGTATGTTTTTGATGTTCTGTTCAGAGTTCTCTGTTAGTGTAGAGGAATCTGACGGGTTTCCGTATGTCAATCTTGTACCCTGACACTTTGCTGGATCCTTCTATTAGTTCCAGTAGTTTTCTTGTTGCTTCTCTGGAAGTTTCTGGGTGTCAGGATGACTACTGGGTGCCATCAGGCCAGGTTGACACATAGTGACCCTGCTTACAACAGCACCGAACCCTGCCTGATCCTGCACAACCCTGCCTGATCCTGCACGGTCCTCACGACTGTGGCTGTGTTTGAACCCTGATCATCATGGCAGCTTCTCTTCCGTGGCTCATGACATTGGCAAATCCAGGTGTTTTTTCCTTATCCTTTACCAATTTGGATACATTTTGTTTACCTTTCCTGCCCTATCGCTCTGGCTAGGACTTTCCATAGTATATTAAATAGGAGTGATGATAAAAGGCATGCTTGTCTGGTTCTCATTTGTAAGGGGGATTCTTGTCGGTCTCTTTCATTTGAGAATAATGCGGGTGCCCTTGGGCCTGTATGTAGATGCTCAGTTCTGTTCCGGCATCTCCCGTCTATTCCCGATGTACTGTTCTTCTCTGGGATGAGCACTGGATCTTGTCTGAGTCACTGCTAATCTGAAGGGGGGTGGTTCACCTCCATGAAGTGGCACTCTGTTAGAAACCCTGGCAGTCTGCTTTCCTAAAGCAGTTCCAGCCAAGGAAAACCTTCTCTGGAGCTGCACTACTTCATGAGAGGCTGTCCGTGAGTAGAATGGTTGCCGCAGTAGCACCAATAATAACTGAAATTGAAATGAGCTAGTTCTGTAAAGACCCCCATAAAGGACTGTTTCACCAGAGGTCCTCAAAAGGGACAGTTGTTGTTGTCAACCCCCAGGCTCCCTATGTACAACAGAGAAAACACCGCCTGGTCCTGCCTCTCCTCACCATCATGGCTATGTTTGCAGCCATTATGGCAGCCACAGTGTCAATTCACCTTGTCAAAAATCTTCTTCTTTTTTTCTGCCCCTCTGCTTTACCAAGCACAATGTCTTTCTCCAGGGACTGGTCTCTATTGATGACATGTATGTGTGGCTTTTCCAGTAGATGTCGATGCTGGTGTGCTGAATAAAATCCTCACTCAAAATCCTCACCTAAATCACAACCACCTAATTTTTGAAAAATAAATAGATGGAGTAGTTTTATTAGAGTATAATTGTGAATATGGGAGAATCCAGGATAATTGTGTTTGTGTATGCGTAGAACAGAGAGAGAGAGAGAGTTAGAGTTTAAGAAGTTGTGGCTTCTTTATTATCAAATTTGGAAACTAAGATTTAGGACCTATGAAATGGAATATTCTAGAAGCAGCAAATCAAATGCAGAGGGTGGTCCAAATAGTATCTAGAAAGAAGGGGAAAGAACATAATGACATGATGTATGTGACTTTCTCAGCACACCATCTGGCACGTGGCATGTGCTGAAAACACTTCTGTGAGGATGGCCTTTCGGTCAGTGCCATTATGGGCATGTAGGTCCTGGATAAAATAGTACTTGTATGTTTATATAAAATGGCCAACAAGTAAAAGCAGTCACCAGACTAAGATAAGACTTTGTTTGTTTGCTTCCTCGGTGCTGTATTTTCACTCTGTTGTTTTCCGTCACATAGCGTTGTAATCACTTATTTATAAGTTCACAGGCTCTTTTTCCCATTAGGCTATGTGCTCCTTGACAAAAGAGATGATATATTTTTGTTGTATTTATACTCCTGATACAGTGCTGTACCTAGAACAAGTGTGAGCTTGACATGTTTTCAATAAATGCGTAAATCTGATAACATAGAAACCCTATGCTGAGGGCAAGCTGTTAGACATAATAGTTCCTGTAACAAATAAACAGATAGGGAAAGCATTGGAAGAAAGAGTTCCAAGAACCAATCAACATTTGGGAAGGGCTGAAAAATCAATCCTTTGTAGAAAGAACAAAGTATGGACTCTCTTAAAAGGAAGTCATATTAGACAACAACATTTGTAGCGTGTGGTAAGAAATCGAATGTTAATAAAGGCTGTTGGACTTGACCATGGTTGCAGAGCTGGGAGTAGGCTACTTGGAAATGAAACTTAGTTGGAAATAAAACTAGGTCTTATAATCTCAAGACCATTGTCTTCGACACAACAGGGAATATGACAGGCATTACAGCACCTTTGTCAGTTATCACAGGGACGATAAGGGCTTGGAATGGATTGAGCTGAACTTCATCCAGAAAATTCGAAGAAACCTTAGATAACTGCGTGAAATGAAGACCAAGTTTTACTTGGCTGTACCATGGAAACGAAATTATGTGAGAGAGACTGTGTGTGTGTGTGTGTGTGTGTGTGTGTGTGTGTGTTTCATGTTTTAACATCCCATTGCTTAGATGGATTTTGGGGTACAGAGTGTGGGCTGATAAACGAGAAAGCAGAAATTAGTTTAAGTGTCTTCTTCCCGAATGTAAAGGATGACAATTATCCCAATTGGCAAATGGAACATCAAGAAAAGACTTCAAACAAACTTTAACTAATGGGCCCGTTTATAATGTCTATTAAAGCTGTCATGGGCTTGTTCAACAGAAAGAAGCTGGTTTATTATGCAAATGTTTACCCCCCCAAAATCTCAGGGCTACAAAACGCTTAATTATTTATCCCTTGCTGAAGTAGATAAAATTAAATTTAATTGAGTGCTCAGCTGTTCTTTAATGAAAATCATAAGCATAATTGACATTCGCCTTTAACTGAAAGCAGAGATGTGAGTTAAATAAAGGAGGAGCCCCAGCTCCCTGAAATTCTCTCTGTAATTACACCCGTCTTTTAACACTGGGATTTGCACACAATCTCCATTTCATGGACTCAGTAGATAGTATCTTTGCGAGAAAGTTTTAAGAGTTTTCTGATTGACAAAATAAAGCAGGCTGGCGGTTTCAAAGAAAACCACGTCTGGCTCCTGACAGGATCTCAGCTTCAGAAGAGATTTGACAAGGATTGTGTAAATGCCAGCGCCAAAGGAAAAAAAAAACACCCATCGCACATGCCCTCCACCCCCCACCCCTTTTGAACCCATTGAGACAAGCCAGTGGCAGCGGGAGAAGAAAGGTCAAATTACACAGGAAAGCTGTAAGGTTCACTTTTACCAGCCATCAGCCAAGAGTGTGTGCTGACAAGAATCCTTAATATAGTAGAAATTACGAGCCTTGATTCAAGAGACTGTTCACTGAACAGTAGGGGGGAGGGGAGCGGCATGCAGGGTTGGCTGGTGATCATGTAGCCCATGAAGAAACATGGCCAAATGGAAATGTTGAGCTGATGAATCTAGGTAGGCAAGCTGAATTATAAACTGTAATCTGGGGAACACATTAATCCCAATATTGGTCTGGACATTTTTTAAACCATTTATTTTCAAAGTAATGAATTAATTCAAGAACAATGCCATGAACAATATGGGGGTATCCAGAGAGTTAGAACTTACCAATCATCCAACAGAGAGGTTGTTAACTTGAAATAATGAACAAACAAACAAAAATGACCCAGCTTGTCAAACCCCCACCATCAAGTTGATCCCAACTCATCGCGACCCCATAGAGGGTTTCCAAGGCGTCCGTCTTCACAGGGCGTAGCCAACCCCATCTTGTTCCTGGGGCATGGCTGGTAGGTTTGAATTTCTACCTTGCAGTTAGAGCTTCCCTTACTGGCTTGCCAGGCTCTCTTCCTGGAAGCTCAACTCGTAATGCTTGATGAGGAAGACTGCCTTCACAGTTGGAAAGTATCCCCCCAGGACAGTGGTTAGAGCTCTCAACTGGCAACAGAAAGGCCCACGATTCAAACCCACCGACCTGCTCTGTGGTAGAGAGAGATGGCAGTCTACGTCTATGGTGCTTAGTCCTGGAAGCCTGGCGGAGGTCGGGGCGTGCCCCTGTGTCCTATGCAATCCCTGGGCGTTAGAATTGATTTGATGACAGTAGGCCAACCACCTGAAAGGCTGGCAGGGAAACTCTTCCCAGCGACATCTCTGAAGAAAGAGATGACCCTCCGCTTTCATAAAGATTCCAGTCAGGAAAACCCATGGATCACACTTCTACTCAGATCCCTGGGATCCCCATAAGTCAGGGGACCCCCTTAAGGGCAATGGAGTTGTGTTTCGATTTTTGTCTTCATAAACCGAAAACTGAACCCGCTGCCATCAAGCCAATTCTGACTCAGCATGGCCCGATAGGACAGGGTTGAACTGCCCTGTGACCTTGGGGGACTGTACCTCTTTATGGAACTATAGCAAGCCTTGGTCTTTCTCCCTAGGAGCAGCTGGTGGCCTTCAATGGCTGATCTGAGGTTAGCAGTCCAATGAGTCACCATGATACCACCCCTGAACCCAACAAGGACAACACACAAAAGCTGAGGGTAGCTCTTACCATCTCCGGGGTCCACAATCTCCACCGTGGTCACCGAGGGGAATTCCAGCACAGCCAGCACGGGCTCGGACAGCACCACCTGGAAGGTCTCCGATTGCTCATGCTCGCCGTCACTCACCACCCGCACTCTCCATGTGGCCCTGCTCTGGCCGGGGTTGAACTGCACTTGCTTCTGAGCTTTGCCCTTGAAGTCTTTGTCTTTCTCCGCAGTCCCATCTCTTGTGCCAATACCTTCACAGAAACACAATTTAGATAGAACTTTTAGTTTCAGGTCCAATTGGAGGACGAAGGCTTTCCTTGCTGTGGAATCATTGTCTCCTGCAGAGAAAAGAGGGGTAGACGGTTCCCACGCAACTGCTTACCTAAAGGCTGGAGGTTCGAATGCACCCAGTGGGACCAAGGAACAAACTGTCTGAGCAGGTGCTTGTATAAACCTTGTTGTCAAGATACCTTTACCAGGACTGTGTGCCAAGTACTCAGCCCAGGCTGTGGAGGTGGTTGGGTTGGTGTCAACTCATAGCCACTTTCTGTACATCAGAATGAAACACTGCGGGCTCCTGGGCCAGTCCCACCACGTTTTGAGCCCACTGTTGCAGCCACAGTGTCCAGCCATCTTGTTGAGGGCCCACCTAGACCACAGACTATATTTTATACAAAAAGCAATGAGTAAGAGCCAACAAATCCAGTGTCGGGGGTAAAATACTATGAAACGACAGTCATACTAACTATAAATCTAGCATATGCTCTATACGGTTCATATCTTTAGTATATCTTTCAGTACTGAATCCACATGTGTTAGAGTTCTCCGTGAGTCAAATCAATGGGAAATAATTTTCCAATACATTTCTTTAAGCATTGATTACCTTCAAAGAAGCTGGAAGGAAAGACAAATTGGCAAAAATGAAAAAAATAAAGCCTACTGGTGAGTAAAGTATAGAAAGTCTAAAAATAAGTGCTCCAATAGTTCTCATGTAATTGAAAAAAAGTTATCTTTTTAATTTTAAATGCCTTTTATTCTTCGACATAGAAATGAATCTGGATCACATCATTCCTATTCACCCACAGATATAGGAGCTTCAAAAGCGTTTTTTGGAAAGGGTGGGGGGAGGGGGCAGGGCAAGCTATTGGGAAGTTTGATAAGATGTTTAAATTCTTGATTCCAAAATAATTATCTGAAACGTAAACCTCCATATCATTCACAATAAAAACATGAAACAAAAATTTTTTGGGGGGTGGAACTCCATTTTCTTTTCATTCCCATTTTCCAGGATCCATCGGAAGCCCCCTCATCAACACTGAGTGTGATCTGGCCCGGCTCCTGAGGCACAGCAGCAAACAACCATCAAAACCTGCTGCCCTCTGGTGCTGAGGCAAGATGGAGTTGAGTTTTCACCTGAATACAGACAGCATTGTGAAGCTCATCTTAACATCAGGAGGACAAACATTTTATTTTAAAGTATTTCTGTCCCATGGACCTCAGAGAAAAACAACACAGACATACACGCATATGACATTGCACATTATCTTTTCAGTAGCACGTAAGCCATAATTAACTTAATGGCAAGTGGAAATGACTGCACTAAATATCTTAGTGACTGCTCAAGACTTCCTGCTAGCCCTCTGGTTCCTGTGCTCACAGCATGGCTGTCAACACCTCTGCCATCCACTGCCAAGACCAGGATGAAAAGAATCATTTTCGGAGGCTCCCAGAACGCACATTGTGTGTGGCTGGGGCTGTCTCCAGGGGCCTGCCCAGGCACAGAATCTGCTCATGTCGCCGCCATGTCGCTCCTGGCCACTGCGCGCAGCCTGGCTTTCCCCGACAATGCATTATTTTCTCAGATAGGCAAAAAGCAGATAAAACAACAACACTAACAAGACGTCAGTCTGCTAAGAGGCATGCCCACCAGATTCAAGTACGTACTCATTCTTACTGAATGCCAATCAAATCACCCAACTGGCTGTAAAAGGCTAAAATCTCAAATTCCAATGGCTGCAGCTAGTTATATCCATCATTGTTTTTGCTGGTGGGTGTTGTAAGAGGCAATGTCTGATGAACGGGCTATTAAAAAAAAGTATATATATATGTATATGTGTATATATATGTTTTATTGACATATAATTCATGTGCCATACAATTCAATGGTTTGAATATATTTAAAAGAGTTGTGCAGTCATCACCACAATCAATTTTAGAACATTTTCGTCATTCTTATACTCATTGTTATTAGCTCCCCCTTTCTCTCCAACTTCCTCTGCCATAACCTTCTCACTGCCATTGAGACGATGCTGGCTCATAGGGACCCCCAGTCTGGGTTGCTCAGACTGCAACAGTTTACGGGAATAGGAAGCCCAGTCTTTCTCCTATGGAGCTGCTGGCGGTTTTGAACTGCCAACCATGTGGCTTACATCCCAATGCTTAACGAATATGCCACTAGAGTCATAACTCTATGATATTGCCTCTATAGATGTACCCGTGATGGGTTTAATATAAAGAAAACCATCCCTGAAACCAAAAACACCCTTAATAAGCACAAGGTCAGCAGTTTGGAAACACCAGCTGCTCTGAAGGAGAAAGACAGCGCTTTCTACTCCCCTCAAGAAGGACAGTCTCAGAAACCCACAGGGGCCATTCAACCCTATCCTACAGGGTCCACTAGGTTGGAATCCAGTGGATGGAGGGTGAGTATGGTTTGGTGCATGGCGCTGTGATAGAGGCCTGGTGGCAGAGGGCATTAACCTGTGAACCAAGAAGTGAATAGACACTGAAAGGTCTCAGAAACCCAAAGGGGTTGTTCTTCTACCTTGTCTTAAGTAGGAGTCACGAATCGCCTTGGTGGCCATGGGCTTGACTCTGTGCCAGCCCTGTAGTTAAGAGGTGGGGAGCTCTGGAGTTAAAGCTCAGCTCCTCACCTTTCCAGCTGTCTAACTTATTATCTAACCTCTCTGCTTCCTTCGATGTCAAAGGGGGATTTATAACAGCACCCCTCTCACAGGGTTGTCTGACGTCAGTATTTAGAATCAGATCTTGTACATAATTAAACAACAACAAACAACATTCACTGTCCTTGAGTTGATGCTGACTCATAGAGACTACCGCAACTCTGCAGGACAGAGTGGAACTGCCCCTGTGAGCTTCCGAGGCTGTAACTCTGTGCAGGAGTAGAAAGTCCTGCCTCTCCTGTGGAAAGACACTGTGAGATGGGGTAGAACTGCTCTCGTGAGTTTCTGAGACTGTAACGCTGTACAGGAGTAGAAAGTCCTGTTTTCCTCCTGTGGAACAATGCTGTGAGACAGGGTAGAACTGCCCCTGTGAGCTTCCGAGACTATAACTCCTGCTGGGAATGGAAAGCCCCATCTTTCTCCCTAGAGCGGCTGGTGGTGGTTTCAAACCACTGACCTAGTGGGTAGCAGCCCAACTGCTCCTAGGGCTCCCTTGCACATAATAAGAACTCAAGAAAGATCAGCCCTCATTATTATCACTTCCTGGTCCACTAGCTTCCAGCCACTGCCTGGCTGATAACAAGCACTCAAGAAAAGAGTAGTTGAGCTCGTGAATACAAAGGGATGTTGTGTGGAATAAAAGACGTCCTATATATCAAGTGCTTAAGAAAGAATCTTGTCTTTAGTAAAGGTTCAATAACGGGAGGCAAAAAGATTTTTGAGAATCAAATACTCCTGTGAAATGCATGCATATTTGAATTATGAGTGGGTGTTAAAGGCTAGGAAAGGACTAGTCATCTCTGGTAAGCTTATATACAAAATGATAAGCAAGTCATAATTTTGTATGTGTGCTCCTGAAGGTAGCTAGCCATAATAGAATCTACCTAATGATAAACCAGTATAGTTTAATGCTAAGCTACCAGGGAGAAATTAGCCTAATGGAGCCGAGCTAATGCTAAACTTAAACCAAAAATCCACCACATTCACTGCCATAGAGTCAATGCTGCAGTAGAGCGACCCCATAGGACGGGGGAGAATGACCCCTTTCACTTGCCAAGACTGTCATTGTTTACGGGAGCAGGATCCCAGCATCATTTCGTGCTAAACTCTGGGTAAACTAGCCTCATGGAATCTATCTAATGCCAAGCTAGCATAGTTTCATGCTAAGCGCTGGGTAAACTAGCTGTGATGGCTAATGATGCAGGAATGAAAGGGAAGGGTTACTGTCACAGTGACCCGACTCCTGTTCCTTGTAGAACATCTCTGACGCCATCGGTCACTTTCATCTGGCTTCCAGTCCGGCTCTTTCCAGGAATTCTCTTACTGCCGTGGCTGACTGACAGCTGGGAGTCACTCTCCGAAGTTTCTCCAACCTCCTGCTATCATAGGCCTCCCAGCCCTCAAGTGAGGCTAACCAAGTCAAGCCATGAGTCTCTGTGGCATTGCTGGTGAGGACCTCCATATGCATAGGAAGTCCAAGTTCATGGGGAACAAGAGCTTTTACTTAACATTGTAGTATTCCGTTAAAAAAAAGGTCATTGGAGAATAAAATTTAAATAACATTGTTTAAAAAATCCAAACCTGGAGGAAGGAATGGCATGAGAGCGTAACTTTTGAATACCCGTTTGTAGAAGGCGAGTGATGACAGGTGAAAGCCCCCAAAGCCTCCAGTGACGCTGGACCAAGATGGGAAAGGCCTTGGATGTGACAGAGCTCACCGCCGGGTGAGTTACTGCCATTGTAGGTAGGTCACACGACCCCTTGTCATCGATCTCGCTCTTGACTCCAGTCTTCAATACTTAATATTCCAGCTTTGTGAGAGATTGCCGGTTCTCCTCCATTTCGGGGCATCCTGGTCAGGCCGTGTCTCAGGACTATCTTACAGAGACCACTTATAGAGACAACGGCTGGGTCCACAGATCCAAAGGGACACGACGGGGGAGGCTTATGGGAAACGGGAGCTCACCGGGGGAGGCTTATGAGAAACGGGAGCTCACCGCGAGGACAAGGACAAAGACATGTCCTGGGATTGATTGTCGTGACTGGTGCACCTCTTACGAGTGTGATTGAACTATCGAAACATACGCTATGTGAAAGGCCTGCCACTGAAACTGTGAAACACAGACTCATGATTGGATTTTAAAAATAGTTTTTTAGAACGAGCTTTCTCGATGCTGTGCATGGGCTAGTTGACATGAATACTCACCAAGAGGGGAAGTTCAGGTCAAACAAAAGCACCGGTGCATCCTTAGGCTGTCTTTGTTGTGTGTGGCTTTCCTGCAGCCCCTCCACTCGTTTTTATCCACTTACCATGTCTGTGTCAGTTATGATCAGCAGCCTAACTGTATGTCCGTGCTGTGCGATGGTTACATGAAAGAATCCAGGGCGGATGATCCCTACAGGACCAGTGGTGTGAGTGGCGATACAGGGAAGGTAGAGGGAGAGTGGGTTGGAAAGAGGGAACCAATTACCAGGATCTATATGTGACTGACCGCCTCCCTGGGAGACGGACAACAGAAAAGTGGGTTAAGGGAGATGTTGGACAGGGCAAGATATGACAAACTAATAATTTATAAACTATCAAGGGCTCATGAGGGAGGGGGGAGCGGGAAGGGAGGGGGAAAAAAGAGGACCTGATGCCGGAGACTTAAGTGGAGAGCAAATGTTTTGAGAATGACGAAGGAAATGAATGTACAAATGTGCTTTACATAATTGATGTATGTATGGATTGTGATCAGAGTCGTATGAGCCCCTAATAAAATGATTAAAAAAAAAGAAAGAGGATGTCATCTTGATATGGGGTTGAAAGGAGTTTTGTTCAATTTGTTTGGGGCCCAGGTTTATTTTCCAAAAAACCCCCGAAGAAACAAGTGAAGCAGAAAGGAATAGTGTTCAGCACCTTACTGTTGGTGACAAAGGGAAGTGAGGACACGCTCTCTTTCATTGAACTGAGGTTCCTGGGAGGTTTAGCGACCTACGACAGCATTCCAAACTACTCTGCAGTTCTTAATACCCTAAACAACATTTAGGAACCTGAGAACAAGACCGAGCAACTCTTACAAAATCATTTCACTTATGAGTAATTACTTCCAGTTTTGTGCAGTTATTTTATAGCAGAGAAGGGTTCCTCCTAGATAACTTTGAAGAAGCAACCATGTACTTCTGATGGTTTTCCATCTCTGTCCTCTCTGAGGCCCTGGTGGCACTGTGAGCTAAGCTTTGTGCTGCTAATTGCAAGGTCAGTAGTTCAAACCCACCAAGTGCTCCAAGGAAGAAAGACGAGGCTGTCTACTCCAGTAAAGAATGACCCTCTAGGGTCACCACAAGTTGCTGTTTTCTTGTTGTTTTTTGTTCTCTAAGGAGTCCCTGGAGAGTCCTGGTGCTGTAGCGGTTACCCTTTGGGCGGTGATCCGCATGGTTGGTAGTTCAAAGGTTCCCGCAACTCTGCTGGTGGAAGACTGAGCTTTCTACTCCCGTAAACAATTACAGTTTCAAAAACCCTCAGGGGTGGCTATAAGTCAGCATTGACTCCATGGAAGCCCGTTTTTGGGGGGTTGTTTTGGTATAGAGTCTCTGGGTAGGACCGATGGTTAAGAGGTCAACTACTAGCCAAGAGGATGGCAGTTCAGTCCCACCCACAGGCTTCTCAGAAGACAGGGCTAGTGATCTGCTTCTGAAAGGTGACAGCCTTGCCAACCGTGGGGCAGCTCTCCTCTGCACACACGGCAGCAGAATTGACTTGGCAACAACACAGCTGTTGATATTGTTAGGTGCCACCGAGTCGGTGTTATCTCATAGCCACCTTCTGTACAACAGAGCCACACACTGCGGGTCCTGCAGCCTCCCCACAACGGTTCCTATGTTTGAGCCCCCTGGCACCAGCAACATGGTGGGCAGGGCTAACCCCTGGATGGTTGAAAATGGTCCATCCTCCAGGCTGCTAAGAGAAAGGTTGGAGATTGCAGCCCACAGAGATGCATCACAAGCAAGACTTAGGACCAATTAGCCATTGAAAAGCCCGTGGACACCCAGCGGGTCACCGGGCGTTGGACCCTGCTTGTTGGCAACTGGTCTGTGGTGGCGTTGATGGAAACTGCAAAGCCTGACATTGTCGGAGCTCACGAGTGGGGTTCTCAATCACCGTGTCCACCCGGACACAGATTCGTTTCTTTAGTTCAAAGCGTGAACATCTTCCTCAGCTTTAAAACCAGAGTAAGAAGCAAAGCTCGGTATTGTAATCAGCGTAGCAATGACAGACGTTTGTGCTAGAAAATGGGATTCGGAGGTAGAAGTTCGAATGAAACTTACTTATAAACGAGGTTTCTCCCAGGTAACCCCTTCGTTTGAGAACGATGTCGAGATATTTGGAGTCCTCATTGATCAGGTAGTATTCCTTTTCAAAAGAGATCCATGCCCAATTCAGACAAAACTGTTGGTTCGTTAACTTGTTTCCACCTGGAAGACAAAAAGGGAAAGCCCTGGCTTAGTGGTGTCCTGACTAAGCGACCTTACCATAGTAAGACGTGAGCTCCAGCTTACAGTTTAATGGGTATTATACAAAAACACAATAGCCGACAGCATTCACCACAACTGGCCTCCTGGGTTAGACACTGGACGGTTAACTCAAAAGTCAGCAGTTCAAGTCCACCAGCTGCTGGAGAGAAAGAGGAGGCTACCGGCCCCCAGAAAGATCTACAGCCCCAACCTCCCAGATAGAGTCGCTATGGGTTGGAATCAACTTCATGGCAGTGAGTTTGGATTTTTCTCCCCTTCCCTTTTGGAAAGAGCGGTAGTGAGAGGGCCATGTATCCCAAAACCAAGCATCCGCACTGCAGGATGGCACACCTCCCACAAGGTGCCGCTGGCGAGCAGGCTTTCCTCACAGAGATCTGGGCAGAAAGCTCACTTGTGATGCTCTTACACACACACACACACACACACACACACACACACACACACACCTTCACAAATACCTTTCCTCTGCTTCACTGAACAATTGTTTGGAAGGCTTTAATTATAACCCTTTAAGAAACTGAACCAAACAAAACCAATAGCCCTTTTCCACCTCCTACCCCCCCTCCCCCCACAGCCCACTCCGTTGCTTAGGGCAGACAGACAGCTCTTTCCACTGATTTCCACTCTGCTCTGAAGATAAGTCACCCCCCCTCCCAGCTCCGCCCACCAATATGGGGCTGGCTGTCCATCAGGGAAAACTAGCCCAGTGTGTGATCTCTAATGTGAAAGCCACTCTGTTGGGGACATGGAAAGAGGTGCGGTTATCAGCTGATCACTGGGCACTTATCCCTGCACTCCTTTGATCTACACCAATTATTTCAGAGTAAGGTGAGGCTTATAAACAAAGGCATCCTTAGTTTCTTTCTTGGGGGAAAAATTCTAAAAGAAAAAACAAACAAACAAAGAAGCCCCAATAATAAACAGGGCTAGAGGTAGTTTTGAAATTCTAGTTTCTTCCTTTCTGAGTTATTCGGGCAGAGAGGGAAGGGAATGAGCCGGGGAAAAACGGGAAGCCTGCAAAAAACCGGTTGGTTCAAGGGAACAAAAAACCTGGTAAAAAGAAAAAAAAAAAAAAAAAAAAAAACCCAAAACAAAAAAAAAAAAAAGTGGGAACAAAGGGAATTTGAACCCCAAGGAACCCCGAACAGGGGAAGGGAAATATGCTTCATGGGGTTTGCAGTGGCGGATTTTCAGAGATAGATCGCCAGGCATTTTCTCTGAAGTGTCTCTTGGTTGACTCAAACCTCCAACCTTTTGGTTAACAGCCTAGTGCATTGTCCACACCCCCAGAATCTCCGCGAACCATATTAATGAACACAACCACCCTGCGTCTGTCTTACTTCTTAGTCATTTCAATTGAGGCTCACAACTTATTTCACAGGGCCACATCGAGCAAAGAAAATTCTAAGAATTTGTTGTGTCAAAAGGTGCACAATTTGGAATTTGATGAAAGTACAGGGCAGATTGGGGGAATTCCTCTCTCTCTCTCTCTCTCACTCTTTTGCATCAAGACCCTTACCACAATCTATTGAACTTTGTTTGGCATTGTCATGCTTTCCGCAGTGCAACACTTCTGTCGAGTGCCTGTGTTATCTGACATAATTCTCCTGCTGTTTATCCAACAAACATTCATTGAGCATCGACTGTGGGCCAAATGCCAGGTGGACCGTGATGGAAAAGGTCTCCTTCTCTCTAAGAATGTTTGCTTCTGTACTGGCCAGTGCCCGCCCCTTTGGAGGTGTCACATGGCTCCTGCAGGAGCGGCTTTATACCCTGAGAATGGGCCCGGAGGGGAAAGGACATCCGGGCAAGCAGCTGCCACCAGGCTCGGGGAAGGTGACTGTTTTCCGGTCACTTCTGCCACACCGCTTGCAATTATAGGATGAAATTCAATACCACCAATCGATGGCCTTTTTTAGGGTTGAGTTCACACACTAGAAAACTCTCCTAAAATGGTTTAAAGGAGTAGAGAATCACTAGGAAAAATCCCTGAGGATCTATGCTGGAAGCGCCCCCAGAGCCCTGCCCCCCAGGAAAATACATCTGTGGACAGCTCTTGCTGTGCGTGGCGAGGAGACCTGGTCTTGGTGATCTTGCATGACCCTCTCTTAACTGAGGTTTGGTCTGCAGTGAATTCTTTCTGGAGTCCCTGGGCTGTACTCATGGTTAGGGTAACATGGATTGACTGTTTAATGCTCTGCCCATACAACGGTAACATGAAAACGTCATTAAAATGATACAGAAAATGCTTAATGAAAAATACTGTGGCTATACGCATGGTTAAGTAAATATCGGGTTATAAAATAAGCCTATTGAAACAATCTCAGCTGCTGACTCAAAAAAAAAAAAAGTTTCGAGTCCACCCAGAGGAACATCAGAAGAAAGGCCTGATGATCTGCTTCTGAAAACAAACAAACAAAAGACAACAGAGCCATTTAAAAACAGGATGGATCACAGATTGTCTGGAATGCACATGTGGCCCCCAGGAGTCACAGTTCACTCACTAGCAAGTGACAACTTGTTGGGTCAAAGTGATTGTATTATTGTCCTCAAGGCAAAGGGGTAAGCTGAAGCTGGAAGTACTAAACTGGGCATACCCTAACCTAACTAACCTCACTTAACCTAACTAAATTAACTTACCCTAACCTAACCTAATGGAAAGCTGGGGATGGCTGCAGCCACAGTCTGAGGGAGACAGAAACAAGCATTTCAAAAGAGAGGCTTTCAAAAGCCTAGACAAGCAGGCATCATGTTGTCATAAGGCAATACTTAGTGCACACGGCACAGCTGTCCGTTGGTTGTCCTTCCGTTCTTGTTAGTGACTCTCTGGAAGAGGCCACAGCACTATCCTCTAAGCGTCCGGTATTTTTAAAGTCAGCTGACTGGGCGCTGGCAGCAGGCAGAAAAGGATGGCGTCCTCTCAATCATGCCCATAAATGAGACCATCTTTCTGGAGGGCGGTTTCATCAAAAGCCCCAACCTTTCACAAACCCTTTGACCCTGAAATTCCACTTCCAGGAATTTAGCCTGAGGAGAGAGCAAGGAGTCTCTGCAAAAGGCTGAGCTGGGTCCCTTGCTGCGCAGCATCGTTTCAATAGCAAACAGGCTGCAGACCCACTGTGCACCTGACCAACTGAGATGTGTGGACTGTGTGACGCTCTGCCCTTGCAAGGCTAACCCTGCACACTCATGAAATTGATCTTGCAGAAAATGCTTCATGAAATAAAGAGACCCTGTAGGACAGAGCCAAACGGCCCCCTTGAGATGCCAACATAAATCATTACAGCATCAGAGTGCCTTTCTCCTGCCGAAGGGCTGGTAGGTTCGAACTTCTGACTCTGTGGTTAGCAGCCCAGCTCAGAACCCACTACGACACCAGGGCTTTTTTGCACAAAGACCTCAAGGCTAGTTAACTGCATCTCCATTTTCTGAATTATTAAGCTTGTTTTCAGGTTTACACCTGTGCTCTAGAAGTTCAAGGCTGCCAAATTTGAAGTTAATTAGCAGTACTGCATGCTAGTTGAACACATTAGCCAGGATTTCATATCTGCTACTTTGATATTTCATTTGAAATAAAATTCAAGAACAATACTGAAAAAATTTCTGCTTTGCGAGACTGTTAAGACTGTCCAGGGTAATTATTCTAGAAACTTATCATTCATTCTGAATCTGAGATATCTAAGTTGACATTTACCTGGAGAAAATGAACTTAAGGCTGTAACGCTGAAGTCTGAATAAGATCAAATCCCACATAACTCTTCCTATTGATATTCATGCAAATGCTATTTCGTTTCAGGTTTTGTTAAACTCTATGTACTCAGGTATCATGGGAGATTGGTATATGGACTCTGGGACCTAACTCTAGCTTATTGCAATTCTTTTGATTAAAACTGACCTTCCACAACTGCAATGTGTATTGCATCTTAAGACCAAAATGGCATCTCCCTTCTTTATTCATTTAATGCATGTCATACACACGCCTCCAAACCCGTGGTATATGGGTATAGTAACATCGCCAGGTTTAATCACGATAGTTATATCTTCATGAATGTGAAAGTTTGGATGGAGTTGAACCAGTTAAAAAGCTGATCAAGCTCCATAGAGACAAGCACATAGATTTTTTTTAATTAAGTGGGATTTGTTGGCTTTCTCAAATGGATTCTGTCCTCTCTGATGTCTAAGCAGCTCGTCACAAAGTCTCACTGGAAACAAGTGAAAGTCCCTAACTTGTGTCATAAATCCACACAACAGGTGCCCGGCAGCTGAAAACCACACTCCCAAATACTTCATCCTCAAATGCTGACACGAACGATCCACCAAGGTTTTGATGAGACCTCTTTTGAGCATTCCCAGCTGGCTTGCAAGCTTCCTCATTTTCCTTTCCAATGATGAGAAGGAGATTTATTTATTTATTAGTAACAAAGAATCACAACCTCCAATCTGCCTCCCTACAAACAGGGCCCCTCTTGGCTTAGTGGACCACATGTCGGGCTGCTAACTTCAAGATGACTACTGTGAGACCCTCAGCCCTTTGGGAAAAGGATGAGGCTTTCTATTCCTGTCAGGATTTATATCTCCTGGAACCCACAAGGGCAGCTTTACTTTATCTCCTAGGGTCCTTGTGAGTCAGGAGCAACTCAATGGCAATGAGTTTACAAACAGGAAGGTATCAGATTGCTCTCAAGACAAAATTGACTTCACCACGAAACCAGCGTCACGACTTTGGCTGGGCTGAACAAGGGGTCACATCTGGGTGTCCACTTCTGTTTCTTCCTGTAGAAAAGTTAGTTACCCACAGAAAACCGTCTTGGTCTTTCCTAGCTTGTTAAAATGGAACTTACTCATCCCGAAGGATGTCCAATGTGGAAGTTGAGCAGGAAATCAAACCTTTAGCTGCAAAGGGAAAGCAGCGTGTCAGGTTTTAAGTCAGCAATTTAGAA